TCTGTCAAATAAACAAAATCTTAAAAAAAAAAAAAAGAAACTTAAAAAAATATAAATAAAAAATAAAACTCTTAAAATTGAGGATCAAAGGACTGAAAACACAATAGAAAAATTGAAATAGACATGAGTGGACAGTTCACCACATAAACAAAGAAACTAATGCATTAATAAAATGGCTCTAAAACATATGAAAAGATGTTCAAACTCATTCATATTTAAAGAAATACAAATGAAAACAACACTGAGATATCATTGGATAGTGAAAAACTAAAAAGACTACACATTTTTTTGTTGATGAGGCTATGGGAAAGCAAGGACTCTTGAACATTTTTGGCAGAAATACAAACCAGTACAACTCTTCTAAAAGGAATTTGGCAATACCTACAAAACTACATTTACACCTACCTTTTGACCTAGCAATGCCACTTTTAGCAACTTACCTGAAGCTACATTTCTTAAAATACAGAAATACATACATACAAGGTTATTCACTATAGCATTATTTATAATTGCAGAATGATGAAAACAATCTGAAGGACCATATATGGGAAAGTGGTTGAATAAACTAATAAAGTGGGTAAGACAAGAACTAACCTAAGTAACTTTGGAAATCAGAACTTTAACTATATTCTATAAGGCTACAGACAAAATGAATTGGACACAAATATTGTACTTGAGTGGTAAATTTGCTTTTCACAGGGTTGCGGGTTAATATTTCTTAAACTACTTTTTGAGTATTCTAGGATTCAGCAAAGAAGTAAATATATTGTGGATAATAAGAGCCAAGTTTCCCAAGACCAAAAAAAGAAGGAAAAGAAGGAAAAAGAGAAAACAAAAATGAAATCTGTGGTGTTGAATTGGAATTGGATGTATCAATATGAACTCATGTTTTTTAAAATATATAGAGATAGACATTAAAATAGACATAGATGTGTGTGTGTATGGAAAGATGTGCAACTGTCTCATACTTAGAGAAAGGCAAATCAAAACAAAACTGGGATACCATTTCTCACCTGTCAGTATGGTGAAATTTTAAAAGTATGACAACACATTCTGTTGGTGAGGCTAGGGGAAACATATATTTCCTAGCCCTGTGTACTGGGCTTAGAGATGATGCCCCAGTCGTAATGAGCACACCTAGCAGACAGATCTTGGTGTCTAAGTATACATTCCCCCCCAAAAAGGAACCAGGGCTCCTTGAAGAAATGGCTAATTCCAGGACTGGGGCAAGGAAATTAGAAAATGAGCCATGTGGTGCTAGAAAGTAAGGAAATGATCAAAAAACAATGGAGGACTGTTGAAAGGACACTTGAAAGGGCTCCCAAGGGCCAACTCTGAAGAGAATTTGAACAAAATAAATAATAATAGTAATGGAGAATAATCCACAGAATAAAATAAATATCCGTGAGTCCATATTGATACAAATAAAAACTAAGTAAATACTAAATAAATGGGGGGAAAGGAATAGCTCTTCCTTAAGAGTAGAATTCCTATTCATACCTGGAGAAGGAATGATGGAAATAGCAAATGACCATTTGACAAACACCACAGTAATAAACTGTTGCAGGCAAGAATCATCAATGGATGTTAAAATTAGTAAAGTAAAAGTATGATGAGAAACAGGATATATGCACGATCTCAAAGTATTTTCCCATAATATACTTATTAATTTCAAAGTTTAAAATAGTAATTATAGTAGAGAAATCTGGAAGATACCGCCATAACCAAGTGATCAAACTTAACATCGCCAGTAATTGGCACCTTGTGCTTCCTCTATATGATGAAGGGCACATCACTTCTGTGAGGTTCCTGCATGAAGCACATTGCTAGCCTCAACCTAATTAGGAGAAAACCTTAAACTTTCAGTGGGGGAAGGATTTTTGCAGTCTGTTTTGCCTAATTTTTCTACTGCTGTGCCCTCAAGGCCTACAAGATAGCTGGCTAATATTCTTCTAAAGTGTCAAAGCCATGAAAGGAAAGAGGATTAATGGATGGTCCTAGATTGAAGGAGCCTAAGGAGACAGAACTAAGTGCAGTGTATGATTCTAGATTGGATCCTAGACCAGAAAAAGGACATCAGAGGGGAAATGATGAATGTGAACAAGATTTTCAGATTACTTAATAGTATTATATCAATGTGAATTTCCTGGTTTCAATTATTTACCATGGCTATGTAACATGTTAACATTTGGGGAAACTGGATGTAGGGTGTATAGTACCTCTGTGTACTATTTTTCCAACCTTTTTGTAAGTTTAAGATTTTTTTTTTTTTTTGAAGTTTGGAAAAAAAGTCGGGAGGGGGGGGCGCCTGGG